GATTGCTGTAAAAATGGACAGTGGCCGGCACATTCAGGAATATGGTCCGAGCCTACCAACGCTGGGGTTTATATTCAGTACGTTGCCGCCACTGTTCCAGGAAATGCTGATGCCGTACATTCCAGAGGTGAGCATCCAATTCTGCAATGCAGCATCGTGTGCAGAGGAGCAGATGAGCAACTCTTACTTGAGCAAAACGCTTTAGCTTCCAAACAAAATTTTACTCGTAGTTTAAATTTGAATCACACTCCATTCCTCAAGCCGAGCGTGCAGTGTGAGAGCTAAACTGCCGAGTTCTGCCAATACATCCACTAGAGAACGGCAAATAAATCTGAAATATTTTCAGCACCAAAGGCGGTCGATACTTTCCGAAGTGGAGCTTAGGCAAGCCCCAGCCTCGGAATCCGCCGAGGCCAGTACATCACGGAGCAATGTGTTTCCGCAGGCTGGGGCTGCGGAGGAAGGGGAAGAGGGAGAAGGCGCCTCGCCGGAAGAAGAGGCCCCAGCTTCGCCAGGCGATTCCAGTATCGCCACAGTTGACATCCTGCTCGCAGGATCTCGGCGAGCTGGGGTCGCGGAGGGAAGGGAAGAGGAAGAGGAGGAAGAAGAGGCCTCGGATGGCGACTCGAGTATCGCCACTATCGACTACTTCCGGTGGATCCCGGAACATCGAGAAGATCCGGATGCCGCCTTGACCCCGGAAGGAAGCGAGGAAGGGTCGAATGTCCTATTCGACGAGTGGTTGGAAGAGGAAGAGGAAGAAGAGGCCCCAGCTTCGCCAGGCGATTCCAGTATCGCCACAATGGATATCATGCTCGCAGGATCTCGGCGAGCTGGGGTCGCGGAGGGAAGGGAAGAGGAAGAGGAGGAAGAAGAGGCCTCGGATGGCGACTCGAGTATCGCCACTATCGACTACTTCCGGTGGATTCCGGAACGTAGAGAAGATCCGGATGCCGCCCTGACCCCGGAAGGAAGCGAGGAAGGGCGGAGTGCCCTGGTCAAGGAGTGGTTGGAAGGAGCTGCCGTGCTGGGGGCAGCGGCGAATGTGGCCAGGGCTGAAGAGGCCGCGGCAGAAGTTGATGGCGGCGAGGCGCCAGCGGAAGAAGTTGATGGCGGCGAGGCGCAAGCGACGAATGCGGCTGGGACTGAAGACGCCGCGGTAGAAATTGGCGGCGAGGCGCAAGCGGCGGAAGAACAACAGCCAGAACCGGACCAAATGGCAGCCCGATTACTGGAACTGTAAGTATTTTGTGCCGCAAATGAACAAAAAACTTTGATGAGGAAAGGGGTTTTAAGTTAGCGCTTTTTGTAGAACATCAGTTTCTTGAGAGGTTCGTATAGGAAAGTGCGATACTTTGGTGGGCTGTGGGTGCGGGAGGTGAATATCGGTAAAAATCGAAGGGCGGGAAGAATGTGTGCAGTAGAGGCAGGTTGGGTATGGAGTAACGCGAAGTCGTACGGGGCTCATCCTGGTGGTCAGCGTATGAAAGCCCGGTATAGCAATGCGAAGAAAAAACCAAAAGAAGCGTTTGGAGAGCTGTTTGAAGATTATGCAAGTGTACTGGACGGCCTGCAATACGGTACAAGGATGATCGGTGCGCTCCTAGTTTTGTCCCATTCAAATCATTTTGACGTCGTGAAAACACAAAGAAACGATCTGCTTGATATTGCAGGCGCTCGCGGGCGATTGAGATCCAGGTGCCCGCCGTCGAGGAAGTGGAGCGCAGTCGGGAGGTCCCGGCCTTCCGCCTCCCGAACTTGGAGATGCTGCCGCCGCGCTTCCGGGAAACGCTGCGCGTACCAGGGTCCGACCCCTACAGGGCTGTGGTCGATTGCCACGGGCAGCGCCACATCGGTACGTTTACTGAAAACTTTTGAAATTATTTTAATAAAATTTTTTAACGTTAGAGGTAGCTGGAAAGCAAGGATGTACCTTACATGATGATCAATTCCCTGTCCTGAAAATTTTGTTGTATCTTCAGAATGCCGTTTACCAGGATGCGGACGGCGAACGTTCAGCACGCTGAAAGGATGGAAACTTCATGCGACGATGGCAAAGGACCACCATCGCACTGGTAAGCAATAAGTAACGTTTCGCGCGCAGAGTAATAGCGTTTTATTTCTCACGACAAGTGTTGTCAGTTGTCTCGCAAGCAGAGATTCTGAAATTTTTTTGAGGGATGGGGGCGGCAGGAAGTGAACTCCGAAGTACACCTATACTAAACGGCTGTTTTTTGTGCAGGATTTTGCCATCAGTGCGGGCACTGTGTAACAGTGCCCGACGAAGCGACGGACGAGCAGGCGCGACTGGCCCTGCGCGTCCACAAACGAGACTGGTGCCCGATGGCACCAAAGGCGGCAATGAAGGAGCGCAGGGCCAGGCTCCACGAGTTGCGGCTTCTGGGAAGAGTGGAGGAGGCGGCGATGATATTCCTGCCTGGTAAGGGTCTACTTTCTTTTTCATCACTGAACCTCTTAAAGCGATTCTTGAAGTTTTTGTCTGCGTCCCTTACTGATCCACCGCTACTCGCCCACTCATCAGTGACTTCGTGCTTCAGGAGAGCAACCCGAAGTCGCAGCACCTGAGGTGGCGATTCCACCTATGCCGCGGCGCAAGCGTCATTCGGAAGAAGACCCGCGCGAGTGTGCCGAGCGCTTAAAGCGCCTTAAGCTGTCGGATCCCGCAGCATACGGCCGCCTCAGGGAGGAATTCGAGCTCTGAAAGGAACGCCTGCACCGTGAAAACCGTCGCCATTTCATCGTGCTGACTTGACTCTGTATCCTGGTGAACAGCTCCCCTCATCTTCACCCCCTCCTTTCTCTTCCTCTTCGTCGCCGTTCTTTGGGGCCTGCATTGCGGCAGATTTTTTTTATTTACTACCGGCGTGTTTGTTTTTTTTTTTT